TAGCCCTCACGTTCCCCTCAGAAACACCTATTTTAACAACCACTCATCGATGAAAATACCTTCATGAGAGTCTGAAAGTAAAACTGAGAGAATCCAGCACCCAGGTAGCAAAATAATCCAAGACATTGATGCCCTGAAGAAGGTAATACGAACAATTTCACTTTACCTGTGTCACCCCTCTCTCAAGGTGGCACAGCATTGGCATCTCTGGGAGCTCGTTAGAAGGCAGAATCTCAGGGCCCACCCAAGACCTGCTTTTCAGAGCCTGTACTTTTACACGATCCCCAGGTGATTTGTATGTACATTATAAGAAGCACGGCATTATCATACACATAGGAACATGAATAATATATTGCATTGTTCTATGCTATTTGTAATTTATATAAATGGTGTCATATGGCACATATCATGAAAGAACTTTTTTTTTTCATTTAACAATTGACTTTTGAGGTCTAACCATGTTCACGGAGATCTACTGGGTTGTCAGAAAAGTCATGATGCATTTTTGCAATGAAAAACATAGAAAAAATACGTCATGACTTTTCTGACAACCCAATAGTACGTTTCCTTTTATCTTTTTGAAGAAAAGTCACATTTATATTCCTGATAATGAAATCAGTTTGAAATCAATATGTTACTGACATTGATTTAATGAAATCAGATTCATGGAGATGGTAGAGAATCGTAATGCTCTCCACTTTTTCAAAAATGCACCCATTTATTTCCTGGGAGCATCACAGTAACTGGGGAATGTTCTTCCCAAAGATAAGCAATTACTATTTATGGTTTTAAAACTAAATGTTACATGCCCAGGAAATATAGTGAAGTTTTGTTTTGTTTTGTTTTTGTTTTTAAAGATTTTATTGGGGAATTGGGGGAGGGGAACAGCGCTGGGGAATCGGGGGAAGGGGAACAGACAAGTTGCTGTCCTTCTGTTCTTCAGTCTAGTTGTGGAGGATGTTGCTTCACTGGCCCAAGCTGGCACCATCATTGCGCTCTTCCCGGGCAAGGCAAATCAATCGCCAGCTCTGGACGGCCGCTCACGGCGGCTGCTGGCCGCTCATGCTGGCTGCCGGCTACACATGGTAGCTTATGGCAGCCCACTGCAGCAGGGGACTGCAGCCTATGCCGTCGCTGGCGATGCACAGCAGCCCAGCTCCAGGTCGAGCTGTTGTTCAGCATCTTAGCTGTAGAAGGCAGTGTCACTGGCCCTCTTATGTGGGATCCAAACCGGGGCCCTCTGGCGTCCCAAGTCAGTTCTTAACCAATGCGCCACTCGGCTGGCCCCAGAGTGAGTTTTTAAAGTCCTGATGAGTCCATATCAATGAGGACACTGCCTGCAAATTAGATTAGGCAGGATGCTTTTACATTAGCAGGGCAGCTATCAGCATACATAGGGTCATTCACCTCAACTTGGAATGAGATTCATATTCTTGATATCTTTGGGAACACTACCAGCAAACATCCCTAGGCTTTGCTCTTTATAAGACATAAATAGCACCACATTTCAGAGGCCATTTAACAGACCTATGTCTTCATTAACAAGAGCAATGTCTGACTTTATCATGATTTTTAGTAGCCAAGGCTAGTTAAAAGAATATGGGATATGGTGGAGACTTACCAGGTAGGGAGATGGAGAGAACCTAATATATGTGGTCAATATACTGGAGGAGGGTCAGTGTTGGGCATGAAGGACTCAGCTATCCCAGCCTGGAAAGCTGGTAAGTCTCATTACATGCTGGGAAAACACTTGGTCAAATGGTTGCCTCCTGAACCTTGGAAAAGAGACCATGTGCTGACACAGGCTATAGAGCTAGGAGAATAAAAAGAAAAGCCTCAGGGTGCTGAGATATTGCTATTGTGTCCGTGACTTCTTTGTAGCTTTCAGCAAAACTTGCAAGAAGGAAGGACACAGGCTAGAGCCAGCCAGGCAGATTTTATGTTTTGTCTTGTCAGGTCACTAAGAAATAGGCAAATCAAAGGAGAAGCAGCACTCACAGGGACAGGGAATTACTGCAGGGGAGGAGAATCCTGAAACTCAGGGATATTTCTGAGAATCTAGAGGGTTATTGGTACAAGGCCAAGGAAGTCCCCTCATTTTCATGGTGTTGACACTACATCTCTCACATACACAAGGACAAAACACATGACTGCAAGGCTAATCATTTATTGACCAAGTACATAAACTTTTTGACTTATTCATGGCAGAGTTCTCTGGGTATGGCACAGAGAGTGAAATTTGGAGAAATTTCTTCATTCTTGGTAAGCTGTTGATCTTTCTAGTTAATTAGGGAAAAGTCTGAAGATGCAGAGATAATGCTTTCATGTGAAATAGTGATGGCCATCAGGTCACAGAACTTGTCCCAAGATGTCGTGGGGCCATGGAATGGAAGATCCTGGAGCCCAGATGAGGAACCATTCACTCAGCACTGAAGAAACATGTGAGGAAGAGAACTCAGTAACTCATAAGCACTTCCTGGATTGAATTGAGGACAGAGACATTCTATTGGAGAAAAGTGATGAAGAAATGAACATGAGCCTGCATTCCAATATATGTTCATTGCCAGAATAGAGGGAAGAAGGGCATTTGGTCAATGACTCTTTATTATCCCTTACAGATCTCATCTTAACTTTCCCTCAACCAAGTCTATGATAAACATAGGAATCAATGAAGGATCTTAGGCTGCTTTCTGCCATCCTCAAAATGGGGAGTACTGAAAAATTGTTGATCGATTGAGAAAGAATGGCAAAAGCCATAGTTGCTTTTTATTAAATATGCAATTTCCGCAAGCCATAGTTGCTAACACCTTCCCATACACTATCTGAAAGCAGCCCCACAATACATCTTAGGTAGGAAACAGATGAGGAAACTCAGAATCCTTTCTCCAGGTTGGAAAACAACTGGAAGGTCAAACAGCTCTATTCCCACAACAGAAGTTGAAGGTGAGCAGACATCAAAGCCAGACATTTTTACCAAAATTGGAGGGTGAGATGGCTTTCTGGACTTGGAAGACACACAACAAACAGAAACGTATTTGAGCTTCATACTCACACACATTTGCTCTTTTCCCATTTCAAAATTTAAGTCTTAACGATGTGAAGCACATTAACAATTACTGAGCCCTTTTCACCAGCATATATCCACACAGCAACTCTGCAAGGTAGACATCATTGTTTCCCTTTTAATTGCTTGGTCATTTGCTCTAAAACTCATGGAAGGAGTGGGTCCTGAACCCAGGATGTACAACTCCTACTTTCAAGCTCTCCCCACAACCTTACTTACTAAATGATTCTTATTTTAATCTCTGCATATAAACTCCTAATGCATTTGGAAGGCAGTAGTCCCTGGGCCACACCATTTTATCAAATATTACCAACCTGGAGGACTGGGCTAGTAGCTCCCTCGGGTCTGGAGACAGCGATCTGCAGAGGTAGAGCAGAGCACATTCAGACACCAACCCCAGTGATTTCCCAGACAAAAATCAAATTATTTTGTAGGTTAGGACAATGGGGACTCATAGGAGGTGTTATCTTCTCTTGGGTTTCTTGCTTTAGTAACATGACAATTTAGGAAGAGGAAACAAAAGATAGCTAAACTCACCGACTTTGGTCAAATCAAGAATGTTTTCATTAGGAATTCCATATGTCTGACACACTTCTCCAAACCACGTTTTTATTTCTGGACTCAAATCTGGTGTTCGGCCTGTGGGAACATTGACAGTAACTGTGTTGTCTCGCGTATTGGTCATTGAGGTCATGGCGGATGGGTGGGTCTCCAGATGGATGGAAAAATGGAAGACACTGATTGATGCTTAGGGAGAAGACTTGGGAATAGATTATAACCTGTATTGATTATCTTCGTTTTGGTAGCCTACTGTCACGATGAGATTTCATAAACATCCCACCTCCGAGTTTGAGGGGTTACCCAAGGAGAGCATCTCTCTTGAGAGGAAGAAAGACATCCCAGGTAGTAATGGGAGGAACACCTTGTTTCCAGGTTTCCTTTCTTTCCCTGCCTCCCAACCCAAAGGTGAGTGTCAGCATTAAAGTACTCTACCATATAAAAACATCACTTGGAATTCTTTCCCCTTGTTGAAATTCACGTTGTGAAAAAGAACATATTCATCATAGACTGCTTCAATTATGCGAAGTCTATTGTATCCATCATCTGTGGAGGAAACAGAAGAAAGCTCAGAATTTCTTTGGTCCATGGGAAGCAATTGAAACTACCTATTCTCTTCCACAGAACAAATTCAAGTGCATATCCTAGAAGAGTTAAGGAATGATATATAAGGCCTTCCATTTGTATCTCCCTGGGCTTCATGTGGTGACTTCTAAGGGTAGAACTGACTCCTCATAAAATTTCTTCCACTGGCAATTGACCCGTAGTGGAAAAAATCTTCAGCCACAGCAGCAACTTACCCTCTGTCATCCTCCTTGAGACTCACCTACCTCCTCCAGCCATCTCTGCCAACTATGTGTCTCTGTCCTGTCTTTAAGCCCCACTGGCATTATATACCCAGCACTCTGTCCAAGTAATGGCTGTGGCATTGGCAACCAGACATCATCACAAAATGGGCAGAGAATGAGCAGCTATCCTGACAATTTACTTTTTCCTTTTTTTTTGTTAATTTTCTTTTATTGCAGGAGGTACACATGAGCAAATTGCCATCTTTATCTGATGGTAGTATGTGCATGGTGTTCGCTTTTACACACAATGTTCTCCCAAATTTGGGATATTGCCTATCAGATGACCCAATTACATTAACTAAAGAAGCATTGATCACGAATTGATTAAGATCCTGCAGATACTGGGGTTTGGTAAATTTATTGTAGTTGGAAGAAGAATTTAGAGAGACATTTTTTTGTATACTTACATAATATACTGTATGTATCATCCTGTGATGTTTCGTCAGCAATAACAGAAATCTCGCTACACTGTCCATTTTCCCTGTAAAACAAAATGAGCTGTTGCCCAAGATATATTGATGGGGCTGGCTCCCTCACTCTACCTGTAACTTGAGTGCCTGATTCCAATTAACTCCTGAACATTTAGGTACAAATATGAAACAGCTTTCATTCACATTATTTCACTTTATTTGATACTTTAAGAATGAGTCAACTACTGCTATCACTATTACTCTACCACTATTTCCCACTATCACTATGACTGCAGCTACTTCTCTGTATAATTAGCTGAATGCTCACATGTGCCAACCTCTCAGATGAGTGCTCGACAGGCAGACATTACTTCATTTGGTCCTCACAAAATACATGAGAGAAAATTTTTATCCTCCTCTGTTAGCCAAGGGAAAATTAGGGTGGAAACAGACCAGTTTTCTAGGTCACATAACTGGTAAAAGATAGATTAGAGAGAGAGATAGGCTGGTGATCCCCAATCCTGTGCTTCTAGCCTATGTTATATTGCCAGACTACGTATGATTCTGATAACTCTCTCCCCCTTAACCTCCTTTAAACCCATTGAAATTACTCCTGTCACTCATTTTTATCAATGAATCTAGAAAAGTCCCAGGTTCATGAAGTCCTGAATCAGTGCCAAATGAATAACTTGGATTTTGGATACAGTCCACATGTTTATACACATGTGCACGTGTGTGTGTGTGTGTGTGTGTGTGTGTGTGTGTGTGTTGTAGAGGCCCAAGATCATACTCACACTTCTGCGAATTTTTTCTCAAGTAAAAGAGGTCAACTTACTTTGTCTGATATTTAAATGACATAGAAGAGTTCCCCGAGGCTTCGATATTGCTTACAAAAATCCTCAAGCTCCCATTTTCATCTATCTTTTCCATCTCATCTGAGGCCAAAAGGACAGAATACCATTCCCCTGAAATCTGCAATAAAATCAGTAAAATTATTGAGTTGCAAAAGAATAGACCCTTGTCATGGACCCTTGTCTCCTTGAACTTGGCCCGCTGGCCTGGACTCAATAGTGGTGTGAAGATAGAATTAGAACTCGGGTTAATTGACACCACATGTAAGGCTCTTTCCATCATCCCTCCAGTGAGACTGGAGGTCCCCAAGTGCTGCCGTCTTTTCACATGGTACACTTGCTCTTAGCCGAAGGTCACAAACCACCTCATGTGTGTACTATGTCAAAAAACACCTGCCCTCCAGTAGGGCCACCTTGCTTCAGAATCCTCCAAACCACCCCCTCAAAGTCAGAAGTCACTGTGCTCCACCAACTCAACCTTTGAAAGATCGAAGTTGCTTGTCACAACATCACCGTGTCCTTCCTTGTGTGCCCAGCCTAGAGTCAGCCCCAGACACAGCAACAGCAGCTTCATCTTGGCAGGCAATGGAAGTGACTCAGCTACAGTCCCTTGGAGTGAGTCTTTCCCTCTAGGTGGCCCCACTGCCTGGCTCCTCTGCCTTTATATTTATTCTGAGTCCAGTGATTTGTCCACGGGGTGCCAGCTTTCCTCCTCCCACTCCGTGAAATGGCCTGTTATTCGCTGGTGTGAGGCCAAGATCATTCCTGCCTTTTTGCTACTTGTCAATCTCATTTCTTTTGATCTACTTATGACCTTAACTTTCTCAAGACACATACTCAACAAAAGTAGTGGAGGTCATAAAGGACTGCCTTTAGTAACCAGATTTCACTGTGGATCTGGCTTAGAATCAGAAAGCCAATTACGTGTGGCATGAATGGAGTAGAACTGAGAAAATGAAATGTTCCAGCATTCACATGTTATGCAGAATTACATCAGTTACCCCATGATAACTACCTCAGAAACAAACAAAAAAAGCCTCTAGCAAAGAAGACAGCACCTATTGCAAAGCGTTGAAATAGTGCTGAGTAACAGGTTGGCATAGAATAAGGTCTTGAAAGAATGGTGTCTGGTATTGAGCACATTTCAATTCATTTTCCTTGTCATCTGAATTCTACCTCTACAGCCTTTCCTTTTCGCACAATGAACAAATGTATTCCTATCGCTGTGTATACCTCGCTATATACCACAGACCCATAATAGAAATGGAGAAGTAGAAGATGTCATGCCTTCCTTCAAGCACTTTCAAGGAAAGTGGGGATATGCTTCGAATCCCAATTAAAGTTCAATTCTACAAGCATGTAAAGTAACCCAACTGAGCGGGACAAAGTCCACACCACTGTGCGTCAGAAAAGGGGGTGATCTAAGGAAGTGACATTACATATAAAGTGCTTAAAAACACAAGAGTCGGGAGCATTTTCTCAATCCATTGAGATTTTGCTTCCTGGCAATTGTGGTCAGTTTGGCTCAAATCAACTCTTACAAGTTTTTCTTAGGCTGGATATTTTCGTAAACTTTCCCTAGCTGCCAGCATGGAAAATAAAGGACTTTTTTCTCCTCAAAAGAAAAAAAAAAAAAGAACACAGGAGTCATGTTCACGTAGACCTGGGCCTCATTCCTATCTCTGCCGTTTTGAAGCCATGAGGACAAACTGAACCTCTGGGAGCCTTAGTGTCCACTTACTGGGATAATTGTACCTGCCTATAGATTGCTGGAGGCATTCAGTGGAATGATGTGTATAGAGCCCTCAGACTAATGTCTGGCACATGTTGGGCAGGTGGAAACAGAGAATTTTCCCTGGGGATGGTGGGATTAGGGGGCCCATGAACATTAGGGGAGGTGTGGAGACGTGGAGAGCCTTTTGGAAGGAGGAAGATTCCTGGTGAGAGGAATGTTGAGTTAGGCCCCTGTGACCCCAGTTGGGGCTGGTTAAAAGCTGTGGCCCACTTTAGCCTTGAACTAACGGTCCCTCTTTGCACCCACAAAGCAGAAAGAGGCCAGTGTAGTGGTTGGAGTTGGCACAAGGCAGTGAACCTAGAAACTATGGCATTCTATCCATGGCCTGCCTCAAAAAGTCATCCCAGCCCATTGGGTGATCATTCCTAGATCATGCTTAACTGATATCCAGATTCACAGTTAGATCTGGTTTTTTGATGTCTATATATTAGGCTTCATGGGCTGGCCGTCGATTACGTAGTCCTGTCCCTGGGATGGAGGAACTGAGTTTGACAAATGGGGGCAAAGTCTGCATACTTAATTCTCTCTAGTTGATTGTCCCCAAAAATAGATGGCAGCCTATGAGCAACCAGGTTTGCGAGATGAATCCCATTCTTCCTGGGCTGTGATGCTGAGGAGAGAGCCAGCTACCACTGCTGCTCATAACATCTCTAGCCCATCCCACACCACTCCTAATCCTGCACCCATATCAGAGTGCCAACTTTCTGCTTCTGGGTACCCAACTTGTGTCCCAAGAGAAGAGCAGAAATGAAGATGTATGCCACAGAATGTTTTCCCACTCTTTTAGTTTTTAACACCCAAATCTTCATGGAAAATTTGTATCCCTCAATATAAGCTTCTTCTCAGGTGTGTAGGGATAATTTATGTTCACATTTAAAAATATAATGCCACATTTTTTTTTGTAATGCAACATTTTTAATAGTCTGTGTGGAAAGCTTGAGATACATTCCAAATACAGTTGGTACAAAACTTCACAATCATCACAAAAGTGATGGGCATC